GATTGAGTTCTCATAAAAAATCAAGTAGAAAGTTCAGACTATCCCGTGGAAGACTTGAACTCGAAAGCCTACATTGCCAAAATCCTCTTGTTCCTTCAATATTTTTTTAGCAGAACTGACAGCTGACTTGCTACACCAAATCAACTGAATCGATTGAAGCGTTGATATTTCACCAATACATGAAGGGATCTCCTTCAACTTATCCAAGTCCTCAAGATGAAGATGCTCAAGGCGTGGAAAGTGGTTGCTATCTGTTGTCCACCACTCCAGGTCACGGCAACTTCTGATTAGCAAGTATCTAAGGTTGCAGAATTGCCCTTCAACTGTTTCCCACTCGGTCCCCACAAAAGAATATTTTAACAGTTTGAGGACTTGAAGATTGGGTAACAAACATATCTTTGTCTTCATGTCTTCCCATTTGAGCTTGGTCCCCATCAAAGTCAACTTCTTGAGGGAATTGGGGAGGATGAAATTCTGCACCATATCATTCCGGGATCGCTTATTTCCGGGATAAAGGGAGAAACGCAAGGACTCGAGTTTATGTAGCTGGCCAAGATTGTCGAGACAGTAACTCAAAAATCCCTGAGGTTCCTCAAAGTAAGATATTTGTAATTTATTGATATTGGGGATTCTCTTGACAACCTCTTCTCCACATTTGAATTTTCTTATATTAGTGAGCGTTTGTAGGTTCCCGAAAACAAACTCGTCATCTTTCCCACCGATAGGAGGATCAGGCAGCTGAAGTACATTGAAATGAACATGCTTAAGTTGAGTCATGTTCCAAATTTCAAATGGTGCAACAACGCCCCTGTTACCATTTACAATTAAAGTCTGTAGATTCCAAAGGAGATTGACTGAAGAAGGAAATCCGGAATTTTTAAGCGCATCAGATCGGATAGCAATGAACCTCAGGTTAACTAGCCGAAAGACAACTTCTACGGAATATTCGTATTGTCTGTTGTTATCGTTATATAACTCTTTATCATCGGCTTTCAGCACCCTCAACAATCTAAAATCAAGTAATGGTAAACGTTCTTCAAAATTGCAAATCAAAGAGCGAACAAGAGGCACATATTGCAACTTATGGAGATCACGGAGATAATCCTTCTCCGACATGCTTTGATGAATACCAATGCGGCGTTGGGTATTTATGCCCTGTGGAATGGTAAGTTCATGCGGTCTTCTGACATAAAAGAACTTCTCTCAAGCATAGTTCCCTCAAGAGATCATGGATGCTGCAAAACTTGATATTTCCATAAGACCCCCTTTTATGAACTAAAATCAAGTTTCTATCACAGAGCTCCTGCAAGTACTCTCTCGAAACCACTTCCAAGCTTTTGCCCTTAATTGGTTTCACAAATCCTTCAGAAACCCATAGTTTTACGAGACACGAGACACGGATCATGTTATCCTCCACAAAAACTCCCATATAAAGAAAACACGGCTTTAGATGTACCGGCAAATGGTTATAACTCAATTGTAATACTTTTAAGCAACGTCCATCGTCTTCTGAATTTACAATTTTTTTTATGTTTTCTGAAATATATTCCCAATGTTCTCTTGTGCGCTTAGACTTCGCTAGGTGTCCTCCAATCACAACTATTGACAAAGGAAGTCCTTTGCAATTTTTGGCAATCTTCTTTCCTATTTCCTCCAATTCAGGAGGGCAGTCTTCTTCTTTTTCTAATATAGATTTGCACAGTAGATCCCAACTCTTGTCTTCATTTAAGAAATCCATCACAACGCCATGAGAGCCAATCGAAGCAACGTCTGATAGCCTAGTGGTTATCATTATTCTGCTTCTTTGACCAACATTGTCCGGAAAAAAGAGATTCATTTTATCCCATACCTCAACACTCCAAATATCATCCATTACAATCAAATATCTCCTTCCCCATAAACTTTGGTGTACTTTTACACCTAATTCACCCTCATTCTTCGCACTCAAGGTTTCTCGTTTCTCAGCTTTGTTTATACAAAGAAGAATTTCTATAAGAATTTCTCGCACATTGTAATTTTGAGATACTGTAACCCAAGCTCGAATATCAAAGTGCTTTATAAACTTAACGTAGGCATTTCTAGCAAGAGTAGTCTTACCAATGCCGCCCATTCCAACAATCGGGATTATGCAGAGATTAGAGTGTTGTCCAATGAGCTTATCCATTACTTCAATTAAGAGCTCATCAAAACCAACCATGGTTTCATGCTTCGTTGTTAAATGAGACCTTGATGAAGCAGCACCAGCAAGAGTTGAAGAATTTTTGTGCAGGTGATCTTCGATTATTCCAATATTATTATCTTTAATCTCCATCACATCTTTCTTGATTAAACCCATGTCTTGGATCACCTTATCGAGATCTAAACCAGCTACGACATTCTGCCTCGTTGAAGGAGATCTTGATGAACCAGCACCACAAAAAGTGGACAAAATCCTGCGCAGACGATCTTGCATTCTAGTATTCTTCGTTTTTCTTGATCCACCAAGGATTTGATCACCAACCCAGGTTTCGTTTATATCTTTCGACGCTTGAGCCGTCGATTCAGTAAGAATTTGATCAACAACACGGGTTTCGATTATATCTTCGGCTGCATGAGCTGCATCTGCAATTCGACTTTCAAAAACATCAATTGCTCCTTTGCTGATGCCAACACAAGGATATCCCTGCTCAAGAAACTCTTGCAAGAAATTGAGGTTGTCGGTGAGAGATTCCACCTGGTTTTGGTGAATAAAAATTGGAGGGGAAGGGTGATGCTGAAGCTGTTCGATGATATGCCTGAGAGAAAGTAGAGCTGCGTACGCCGCCATCTCTCTCTCTCCCGAAAATCGAATTGGTTTTCAGAACAATTCTTGAGGTTGAGAATCAAGAAGAATCAAGAATCACTCCATCTTGAGTCCTTTGTAGTACTATAGTATGAATGTATCTTAGGATAATAAAAAAATGCGAGAGAAAAAAAATGAATGGTGTACAGAAATGGAGGCAGCAATGGTTGACTAGTCATGCGTCATGAAATTTGAAAGGTGAGTTAATGCCATGTTTAACGGCAAGTACAATTTTGCCCTTCAATTGGCACGTGATAATTACATGGGTTAAAGTACTATTAGGTGAAACACACATATACATGGGTGTTTGTGTGATTGTGTGCAGATCAACGGTTAATAATCATCCGGTATATTTCACTGGGTGTAGCATCAAACAAACCGTGAAAGTACTATTAGGTGAAGGATTAATTTCCTTTTTTGAGTCCATATTTTTACACTAGATTTTGATTTTCTAATGCCAATATTAATAATCGGGTGTTTCTATTTGCAGCGGGGCTTTTACTAAATACAGCGGAATCTTTTTCATTTAATTTTTTTTTTTAAATTCACTCTCCTACTTCCAAACTCTCTCAAGACAATTGAATTTCGGAAATTTTTTTCGACTTTGAATCCGCAGCAAACGAGGCTCGATTCCGGTAATTTTTCAATATCCGTGCTCTGTAGAACGGAGAATTCAAGTTTTTTGAACTTCCCGTTCTGCAGAGCACGGAAACTTGAACTTTCTTCAAGTTTTCGTGCTCTGTGGAACGGGAAGCTCAAAAAACTTTTTAGTTTTTATTTTCGGAAAAAAAAATTAAAATATGAATCCCCGTGCTGCAGAACACGGGAACAACGTGAACTTCATGTTTTCATTTTTTTATTTTCTTTTAGTTTTTTTTATATTTTTTTTTAAATATCGAATTTTGTAATTATTTGAGGAACATGATAACACATATTCGAATTTTATTTTAGTTTTTTTTAATATATTTTTTTTGGGGGGATTAAACTGCAATTTCGGCCTCTTTACTATATGGTAATTAGACTTTCGGTCTTGAGTTTTTCGAGTCTTGTTAAAAGGGTGCAGAGTTTGAAAGATCGGTTTATTCTATGCTGCATCCGTGAACTGAACTTTATCGGGAATTATTTTATTATATATAAGTGTAATGTTGATTATTCAATTTGTGTACGTCTAGTTGGTGGAGCAAGAAAATATAATGATATTTGATCTGAATTAGTTAATGTAGTGGCATCTTACGTGTTATTCGCGAGCTATTACACGATGGCAGAGTTTACCTAATACACTTCGAGTGACCGTAAATTCTCTACGATGGAAAATGTGTAGATCTACACTACAACAGCATCATTCGTGTTTCATTTGGTATAAAATCTGGGAGATTGTCGAAATTATAACATTGTTATTGTGAAAATAATCGCCGAGAGGCAGGTGATATTAAACATTTGGATGAGACAATTATAAGTAATTGTAATGTCAATGATTCTCTTTTTGTATTTTATTGATGTAAGTACTTATAAACTTAGTTGTTGGTTTGAAGCTCAAATAATTTAAGATTTGATTGTATATCATGAAAGAATCTATGTGTAACATGTAGGGGTGGTAAACGAGCCGAGCCGGCTTGTGAACTAGACGAGCCGGCTCGAAAAAAGCTCGAACTCGAGCTCGGGATTTTCGAGCTCGAGCTCGAGCTTCGGACGAGCTCGAGCTCGAGCTTCGGACGAGCTCGAGCTCGAGCCCAAAAGTAGTTGTTCGACAGCTCGCGAGCCGGCTCGCGAGCTGCCTTCTATTTTTTTTTTTTTTTTTTTTTTTTTTTTACATATATATATATTATTCTTATTATTATTATTATTATTATTATTATTATTATTATTATTATTATTATTATTATTATTATTATTATTATTATTATTATTATTATTATTATTATTATTATTATTATTATTAACTAAATAGTAAATACTCTATAATAATAAAAATATCTAGTATTTAAATAGAAACAAATCTATATTACTTAAATAATTCATAATTATATAAAATATAATAATAATAATAATAATAATAATAATAATAATAATAATAATAATAATAATAATAATAATAATAGAAAAAAAATATATATATAACTAGAGTTCATTATTTTTTTTATAATTTTTTTTATTTTCCTATGAATATTTTCTAATAAAAAAAAATTAATAAAAAAATTAAATAATAATAATAAAAAAAAAAAAAAATAAATAAATAAAAATTAATAAGCCTGAGCTCGAGCTCGAGCCAAAAAAAATTGGCTCGATGAGCTCGAGCTCGGGAACATGGACTCGAGCTCGAGCTCGAGCTGGCCAAAAGAGCCGAGCTCGGCTCGAGCTCGGCTCGTTCCCACCCCTAGTAACATGCAAGCATTATTATTTCATTGCATTACAATCATCTAATTAAGTCAACTTTGTATTGATTACCAACCATTTATTGTTAATTAAATGGTTCGATTTTAAATTAATTTACCAACATTTTCTAAGTTTAAATTATGAAGCACGTCTTATGCTTTTCATGTGGTTTGCTAAATATTGTACTATTCACCCAGTGCACATATATGGTTGGTTGCAGTTCAATCAATTTTATTAGTTTTAATAAAAAAAGAAAAGGTTAATTAGACAAATGTTATACAATTGATCATAACATTAAGAGATCGGACATCAAAAGTTATTGGACCGAAAATATATTTAACCAATAGTTGAGGGACTAAAATTGCAAAATATGCTTTTGGTTAGGGTTTATTCGAAAAAAACGCGAATTGTGACTGGGTTAAATTTCAAAGTCAGAGAACTCAGTGACTCGGTTCAGCAAATGGCTCGCACACGTTTTCATGGTCACAATCACAAACTAAAAATTGACGAGTGGATCAGGTTCTCTTTATTGCTACTCGCATATAATTTTCAAATATACCTTTTTTCATATTTTAATGCTATATAAATTATTAAATACTCTTTTAAATTACATAAAAAATTTATCGTCTAATTTAACTTATTTTCGAAAGAAAAAATATATATCATGAGGTTAATTATTTGAAATTCATCTTTATTTTATAAAACCCGGGTTGACCGCATAATTTGCAAAATAAAAGTATCGCATCAAGAAAATATTTTACAATTTTAATGAGAATAGTATAAATATTAATCGTGTTATTTCATGAATAAATAGGAACGAAGGGAAAAAAAAGAATCGAAACCCATCAATCGCTAAATTAATAAGGTTATGTTGGTCCTAAGTGCATGAATTTATAGAGGTTTAACTGTATTGCTAAAATATTTACTGAAAAAAGAAAAGTAAATAATATCATTAAAAAGAATAAAAAAATTATTGGGAGTAAAGTAAATAATAGCTCTAAAATGCTACCACCTCTCATTATGAAGTTAATGGATTAATATGATATGAAATGGTCAACGAAGTTTTGTAATTATTATCCAAAGCATTAATCTATAGTCAAAGCATCACCAAATGCTAATCAATTATATTCAAAAGTTCCTCAATAATTAGAAAGTAATTAGTTCATAATTACTATGTGACAGAAAAGTATGAGATGGATTGTTACCATTTTGAATATTTACAAGCATTTATAGTATGCTTATGTTGAAAACTTATAAGTTGTAGAATAAAGAATGTGATGCAATTAGGGAATATGAGAATCTACCAACAACTTGTGGCCTCTAATATGCTAGCTAATAATCAGTGTTCAAGCATCTGCAGAACAACCTCGATAAATTAATAATTGATAAATTAATAACATTGTTTAAATAATAATTTCTTCTAGTCCCGACTTGATAAAAACATATTAAATTATTTAGTTCGATAATTTAATATTTCGTTAAATTAATAGAATTTTATTAGTTCTGATTGTAATAATGTATAGATGTTTAACTATATTTTCCTCCTAAAGCCAATAGAAACGACTCCAGAACCAGAAGTGGTAAGATTAATTCTCGAATATTTTTCTGACCAATCACCTCACAATATTCACAGAGAGGATATTTCTGAGAAATAATGGATTCCCTTGTAGGTTTTCCTCGTTTGTTTCTTGGCTTATTTGTTGGGTTAATTTTATTTATTTATTTATTTATTTTTCAATGTGGACTTACATATTTAATTGACAATCATATGATTGACTAGCTAGTTAATTTAATAAAGCCAATCAAGTTATTTTTTTATTTGAGCTCTGGAAAATATTATATGTACCTAATTAATGTTAACAATAAGTAAATTAATGTTAACAATAATTAGGGTTGCATGATGAGAATAACACATATTTTTAGTCCAAAATATCTTAATTTTCTTTTTGCATATATGATATATTAAGTTTTCATATACATAATAAATAAATAACTTTATTTTCAATTTTATTTATAAATAGGAAATCAAGAAAGTAGATGTAGACAAATTGCTGGAGATAGACATGCAGATAATTTTGCACAAGTTGTGTAGCAAATGGAAGGCTTGAGATTCCCAAGTTGGAAAATAGAACATTTCTATAGATATTTTTATATATTTTTATATATTTTTATTGATTTATTTTTTTCGGTCGGTCGTATTGACATAAGATATGGCAAACGGGGATCCTTGGCGACCTTCGAGCTACCAAACACTATAAAAAGAAGCAAGATTATTACACAATATTTTCCCGATATATTCGCAATATAAAAAAGAAAACAACAATAAACGAGAATGTTAGTTCCTTTGTATGTAAAGGTCAAAAAAATTGTAATCGCGAGTTTAATATATAGCCATGTTATTTCCAATCGGTTTTGCCTTCTACATTATTGATATCGAAGATGAAAATTATTTCCCCACAAATTCTACAATATTTTTAATTTTTGGGTCGCGGTTACGAAAATGAGATTGTATCTGCATAAAATTATTTACACTTGACCAGATGATTTAAAAGATAATTCTCAAATGACACTATTTAAGATATTTATCATTCTACTATAATGTTCATAATAACTCAGAATAAAAACGAAGTCGTACGTAATGTGACTTATAATCTACTATATGTATTATGAAACTATCCAAATAAACACACAATTTACTCTCTTTTTTTCCCGCAAAGGATGACCTAGCGGTTGGATCAAGTGAGCCTGTGTTAGTAATCAATTAAACCAGATTCAAATACTTCTGTCAACGGTCGCTAGGTTAGCCATTATAAATTCTTGATTTAGAATCGAACCACTTTCTTGAAAGTTGAAATTACGTAAAGTGATAGTATCTAATGAAGGTCATCGGATCGAATGTTGATCACATATATGTATGTATAGTTGGAATACAATTCTTTGTCCACTCTTTCTTGGGCCACAATTAGGCTTCAATCAAGTCAATTTATCCGATGTGCCCTCGCCCATAAGGTATTGACGTTCGAATTGGTGTTTGCAAAAGCTTTTTTAGAATTCCATATAACATAGTCATAGTGATACTTAATGCAATAAACTCCGTAGTCCCATACGGGGGCATTCGTAACCAACACGGGGTATAACTAGAGGTGGAGATCGAACCATTAATTAAGATCAAAATTAGCACTTTTTTTAAGTTTTCTAATTCTTTCGGAATTGAAAAATAATTTCAATCATGTTTCAAAACAAAATCAAACTGATTTTTATTTTGAATTCAAAATCAAAATGAAAATTTGCATTTTATTGCTATCAAACGGTACATAAATCAGCTGACAATAATTGCTATGAAAACTTGCCATTTTATTGCAAAACAAGTAATTAACTATTTTAAAGATAAGGGTGGAAATCGGATGGATCGGATCAAAACTAGCATTTTGGAAACAGTTATAAATTATTATTTTGTGAAAGTAAAATAATAATTCTAATTCGTGTTTGAAAATTGAAATTTTTCGGATTGGAATTGGTGAAATTTGAAAATTCAGTTCCGATTTTCACTCTCCATTTTAGGTGCTTCGTGTGATTAATTATTATGTCTTCTTCACATCGGAGATAGGATCTCTCTTGTCCTCTCCCATACACCAATTTTATGTATGCATTTTATTTCAAATGATGATTATTTAGATCTCGGAAATACGGGTTTATATGATTTTATATTTATATAAGAGAAGAAAAAAAAAGGAACTTTATTCACCGATCGGGTTCGGACCGAATCGTAACAACAATCTAATCGATTAAATTGTCAATCTGAACTCGATAACTCGACAAGCGATCAGCTCCCGGACCTCCATTTTCCGATTTATGTTCCGCATGTAGGTTAACTCACTGTGTACTGCTGTAAGGTGGTACCCCATGTTATCAAATTGAAATGACAAAATTATTAGGGCAAATTACCAAAACCCCCCTGAGGTAAGCCTAAATAACGAAAATCCCCCCCACGTTCTCGTAATTACGAAAACCCCCCTTGACTAACGGTTGACCGAATTTTTTTAACCGAAAAGGTGAAATGTCAATTATATCCTTCTGTTAAATATGTGAAAAATAAAAGAAAAAAAAAACAAATTACCAAAACCCCCCTGAGGTAAGCCTAAATAACGAAAATCCCCCCACGTTCTCGTAATTCCTTCTGTTAAATATATGAAAATAAAAGAAAAAAGCTGAAAATGTGGTGGCGGTCACAGGCGACGGAACGAACGACGCCCCTGCTTTAAAAGAAGCCGATGTGGGACTCTCGATGGGAATCCAAGGCACTGAGGTGGCGAAGGAGAGCTCCGATATCGTGATTTTGGACGACGATTTTTCGTCCATGGCTACAGTTCTGCTTTGGGGGAGATGTATTGATAATTTGATATTATAAATTTTTTATTTTTTAATATTTATATATCTTAATTGATTTTATTTATCCAGAGGAGTGTTCATACGGATTTATGCTTTTAGCTTGAATGATGGTTGTATTTCTCGAATTGCAAAATATTTAATTTTATATATAAAAATAATTAAATTTTGAAATCTCATTCATTGATTTTTTTAATCCAATAAAAATACATTGTACATTCATAATGATTGATTATATTTGGGTTTAATTTAAGAAAAATAAGTATTTTGCAGACACTTATATATTGACCCCTCATTAAATAAAATGCTTACAATTACCCCCCTAAGGGTAATTTCGTGTACAAGGGCAAAATTGGTATTATCGGAGGAATATTCTGGAGAATCAAAAAGATTCTATCGAGTTTAACACCGTTAGAGCGATTTGTATGATGTCTGCATACCTCAGGGGGGTTTTCGTAATTACGAGAACGTGGGGGGAATTTTTGTTATTCAGACTTACCTCAGGGGGGTTTTGGTAATTTGCCCAAATTATTATGGTAAATTACAACCACCCTACTGAGGTATGATCAAATTACGAAAAACCTCATATTGTTTGGATAATTACATCTACCCCTCAACTATGAATCTTCTTACACCTCCACCCTTATGGTGTCAAATTCAACATAATCAACTAGATTCCGTGGAATGTGCTCTAGTTTATACTCGTTGTGTGTAAATATACAGTTTCTGATGCACCACAATCTGATATATATACAAGTCAAAAAACACATCTTATGATCATCTTGCTTCAAAATGTGGAGCTCGAATTGGATAAAACGGGTACAAAAGTGATAATATTCCATATAATCAAGAAGATTCCACTAAATTTGAAACTGCGAGGATGGACGTGTAAGAAAATTTATAGTTAAGGGGTTGTTGTAATTACCCAAACAGAATGGGGGTTTTCGTAATTTTACCATACCTCAGGGGTTGGTTTTATTTTACCCAAATTATAATTGACAAAACTAGGAAGAGAAATACTATATATCCTTTCATGATTTATCAAAGCAATAAAAGAAGCTTGATGTTAATCAATGAAGACTAGTTCTTACCGAGATTCTTCAATTTGAAAATTGGGACTAGCCAAGCTCTCCAAGTGTTCTTGATTGAATAAGATAACTCGAACTCGAAGGCCTACATTGCCGAGTTCCTCTTGTTCCTCCAATATTCTTCTAGTAGAGATGATAGTTGAGTCGCTACAATTTTTCAACTCAATGGATTGAAGCGTAGGTATTTCTCCAATACACGACGGCATCTCGTTCAACTTATCCATGTTACAGAGAACAAGATGCTCAAGGCGTGGAAAGTGGGAGCTGTCTGTCATTGTCCACCATTCCAGATCACTACACGTGTAGATTTGCAAGAATCTTAGGTTGCAGAATTGCCCGTCAACGGTTTCCCACTCGGGTCCTACAAAGGAATTATATTGCAGTTTGAGTACTTGAAGATTGGGTAACAAACCTATCTTTGTCTTCATGTCGTCCCAGTATAGATTGGTCCCCCTCAGAGCCAACTTCTTGATGGAATTCGGGAGGATCAAGTTCCGCAGCAAATCGTTCCGGTGTGGTTTCTTTTGGGAATAAAAGAAGCAGCTAAAGGATTCAAGTTTATGTAGACGGACAAGATTATTGAGAGAGTAACTTGAACATCCCTCGAATTCCTCAAGATAACATATTTGTAATTTCTTGACGTTGGGGATTCTCTTAACTACCTCTTCTCCACATTTGAAATTTCTTATTTTCAAGAGCGTCTGTAGATTCCCCAAGACAGAGTCGTCGTCACCACCAAGAGGAGGATCAGGCAGATCAAGTAGACCGAACTCGATGTGCCTTAGTTGAGTCATCTTCCAAATTTCGGATGGTGCGACAGCGTAAAACATATCCTTAACGATTAAAGTTTGTAGATTCCAAAGGAGATACACTGAAGAAGGAAATCTGAAATTCTGCCAATCAGCTCCGATGGCAAGGAACCTCGAGTTAACTAGCTGAAGAACAGCTTCTATGGAATCTGACGCATGATAGCCAGAATATGAATGTTTATCAACTACTTTCAGCACCCTCAACAATCTATAATTAGATCCGGGGTGTGATGGTAAAAGCATAAATTTGCACATCAATGAACGGGCAAGGGGCACAGATATCAACGTATTGTTCACTTGCAGGACGTCAAGGAGATATCCAGTCTCCGATTCGCTTTGATGAATAATAATGCGGCGTTGCGTATTTATGCCTTGTGCAATGTTGAGGCTATGCTTTCTTGGGACGTAAAGGAACTTCTCTCTCTCAGCTTCTCTTAAGCATACTTCCCTCAAGAGATCATGTATGTTGCAAAATTTTATTTTCCCATTAGACCCTCTTTGATGAACTCTAATGAGATTTCTGTCACAAAGGTCCTCTAAATACTCTCTCGAAACCACTTCCAAGCTTTTGCCGCTAATTGGTTTCAGAAATCCTTCGGAAACCCATAATTTTACGAGCCAGGAGACATGGATTTTCCTATCTTCGGGAAAAACTCCCATATACAGAAAACATGGCTTGAGGTGTACCGGCAAATGGTTATAACTCAAAAGCAATACTTTTAAGCAACGCTCGTTGTCTTCTAAATGTACAATCGAGTTTAAATTTTCCGAAATATATTTCCAATGTTCTGTTGTATGCTTGGAATTTGCTAGGAGTCCTCCAATCACAACAATCGACAAAGGAAGTCCTTTGCAATTTTTTGCAATCTTCTTTCCGATTTCCTCCAATTCATGAGGGCAGTCTTCTTCTTTCTCAAATATATTTTTGCACAGTAGATCCCAACTTTTATCATCATCTAGGAAATTCATTTCAAGTCCACGAGAGCCAATCGAAGCAACATTTGATAGCCTAGTGGTTATCACTATTCTACTTCCTTGACCATTGTCAGGAAAGAAAAAATTCACTCTATCCCATACCTCAACACTCCAAATATCGTCCAATACAATCAAATATCTCCTGCCCCATAAATTTTTGTGTACTGTTTCACCTAATTCACCTTCATTCTTCGAACTCAAGATTTCTCGGCTCTCGTCTTTTCTTATACAAAGAAGAATTTCTATAAGAATTTCTTGCACATTATAGTTTTGAGATATTGTAACCCAAGCACGGATATCAAAGTGATGCATAATGAGTGGCTTAGCATAAGAATTTCTAGCAAGAGTAGTCTTACCAATGCCGCCCATTCCAACAATCGGGATTATGCGGAGATTAGATGGTTGTCCGGTGAGCTTATCCATTACTTCAATTAAGAGATCGTCAAGACCAACCACGGCGTTCTGCCTCGTTGAAGGAGAACTTGACGAACCTCCAAGCGTGGGAGAATTTAAGTGCAGATGATCTTCGATTATTCCAATATTCTTCTCTTTATTCTCCATTAATTCTTTCTTGATAAAACCCATGTCTTGGATCAACTTCTCTAGACCTTGATACAACTCATCGGAACTGATTCTTTCGCCACCGAGAATTTGATCCACAATTCGGGTTTCGATTATATCTTCTGCCGCATGAGCTGCATCTGCAATGCGGTTTTCCAAGACATCTGCTGCTTCTGTGCTGCTGCTGCTGCTGCCACCGCCGCATGAATAAACTTCAAGAAAATCTTGCAAGAAATTGAGGTTGTCGGTGAGAGAATCAACTTGGTTTTGGTGAAGAGAAATTGGAGGGCGAGGATGAAGCTGAATCTGTTCGATGATATGCTTGAGAGAGAGTAGAGCTGCATAGGCCGCCATCTCTAAGAATAAATTTTTCATTCCAAACAAAAAATTGTTTCTTTTCATATATATACTGGCAATTGAAGGTTTGATTTTGGTCCACTCATTTAGTGGTTGTACATGCATAGAAATCGGACATAATGGATCAGAAATGATTTTTTTGGAAAATTTTCAAATTTTTTTAAAGGTAAAAATGGGTTCCAATTTCGGGATAATTACAGTTTTGACCCCCAAGTTTGCACGTTTTTTACTTTTGGTCCCCTATTTACCGCCGTCAACAAAATACACATTAATGTTAGTCACATTTTAACACATTTAGTCCATCTGTCCGTTTGACCGTCAAGAAGTAACGAACGGTCAACTGTTGAATTAGGGCTGAATTTGGGATTTTTCATTGAGAAAATTGCACTCAGACCCCTGAATTCTTTTAAAATATTCTAAAAACCCCTAAAATATTATTCAACCCTAATTTAACCCCAATTTCATCATTTAATCAATTTTGAAAAACTACCACGATTTTTACCACCATTACCGCTGACCGCTGCCCGTCGTTGATTTTTTGAACTTTTTGTTTCGGCATTGATTTTTTTTGTAAATACCGTTTTTGACGTTGTTCACCGACATTGTATTCTCGGTTAACAATGTTGACTTTTTTTTATTTTTCTTGATTTTTTTTGAACTTTTTCCTGTGACTTTTTTTTTCTGATCAACACAATATTATTACTGTATAAAACAATAATAATACTATATTAATATCTAGTATCGTAATATTAAAATTATAAACTTCTAACAAAGTTTTTATCTAAAATTCAGGGGCCTAAATACAATTTAAAAAAAAAATCTAAAATTCAAAATTTCTTCCCCTCGTTTTTTCTTCGTGGAACCGCCAGTGCATCCCAAATTTCTTTCCAAAAAATATGAAGAAGATGAATTAGGCATGTGCGGAGTAATTTGGAAATGAGATAACCACACTAGTACCAGTGGCGGAACCAGGTTCAAAATGTAGGGGGGCCTAACTAAAATTTTGGGATCCGGGGATATTATAATTATAAGAAAATTCTAAGTGAATTCAAATTATTTTAATAATGTATTGCATTTAATATTTCGGGGATTCATGGCACGATCTCAAGGCATTGACAAAAAAAAAATTCAAAAATAAGTAATATTCATAAATTTTATTTAAAATAATACAAGTTTTAAGCATCTTATTTTATATTTTATATTAAATATGATATATTTATCTATAATTTATATAAGATTATGGAGAAGAAACTAAAAAAATAATGGATTAAGACATATATTTACAAAAACTTTGGGGGAGCCAAAAATAATATTCAAAAAATTAAATACCAAATATAAAAAAAAACATTTTTTTTTTCTTGGGGGGTCAACAGCCCCCCATGCCCCTTGCACGTACCGCCCCTGACTAGTACAACTGTTTTTGGGGCTAACACCGGCCGTTAATTTCTCTCTTAAAATTCCTCTGTCATTGAGTTGCGTTGACTTTTCCCTTTTTCTTTTATTTTGACTTCTTTTATGGTATTATTTTTCTCGCCGATTATCATATTTGACTCTCTTTTTTAAATTATATTTTTCCCACTACTCAACAATTTAAATAAAAATCAAGAAAAAAAATATTAACGATCATAACCCGACTTTCAACATCGGTCAACAACGGCAAAAAAAGATCAATCGAAAAAAGAGTCAACCGAGTTAAAAAGAAAGTCAACGTCGGATTAACCGAGTTTGAAAAATCGGGGTCATTGGTTAAAATTGGTTAATTGATGAAATTGGGGTTAAATTATAGTTGGATAAAATTTTAGGGGTTTTTAGAATATTTTGAAATAATACATGGGTCTTATTGCAATTTTCTCGAAGAAAAACCCCAAATTCAACCGTTGACGGTTATTTCTTAACGGTCAAACAGACAAAGGGACTAAATGTGTTAAATGTGACAACATTAGTGTATATTTTGTTGACGACGGTAAATGGGGGACCAAAAGTGAAAAACGTGCAAACTTGGGGGACCAATACGGTAATTATCCCTTCCAATTTCCATTCCAAAAAATTGGAATGCAAAAATTCATTCCGATGTCGGAGTACCTCTGGATCACGGAATTTCGGAAATTTTGGAAATTACATTAGTTTGTAATCTCTTGTTCCAAATTCGGATGTAATGGAAATTTTCAAAATATTTTTCTATCCTTTTGAAATTTTGCATAAAATGCAAGGAATGCCAAAAAATAGTTCGACAAAATGCAATAAATCTATACTATCTATAAAAGGAGGAATAAGGTAGGGGTTTCTTCCCTTTTTTGTGTGGACAAAAATAACCTTTTGATATGTAAAATATGGAGGTCAATTCGGTAACTCAATTAATACTTAAATATAATTATTATATATCTAATTGTTATATGTATAACTCAATTCAATTCGGTTCGTGAACATAAAAGAAGCATGTCTGCAAAAAGAAAACATAACCGTTTAAATTATAACCATTTAAATTCATATTCATATCATACCATAAAATGCATTAATACATACAATACGCACTTGAACACCCTTTCAATTTCTATTTTGTACATTAAGCTTTAGTGCTGGAGATATCATACCAATCGGCAGGGAAGCTTGAAGGGCAATGTCGAATTAATACTGAGCACCAACATATATATATATATATATATATATATATATATATATATATATATATATATATATATATATATATATATATATATATATATATATATATATATATATATATATATATATATATATATATATATATATATATATATATATATATATATATATATATATATATATATATATATATATATATATATATATATACTTGTCCCCCTGAAGAACGCTCAATCAAAATTTCAAAAAATAAATAAAAAAGAAAAACTGTGAAAAAGAGATAGAGTTAAAGATTGAGAGATGCTTATCATCCTAATAGCCTCGA